TTGCATTTTTTTTCTTCATAATTTTCAAATATAAATTACTTGAACATGAAGTAAATTCAATGTAAAGGTGCAAAGACAACCAACATTCAAGGACTGTTTGGATATTCAGCAAGGGGAGTTTTTTTGTTTTTTCTTTTAACCACGAGGATGTGCTGTTCCAGTGTGTAAATTCCCTGGGGTACACTGACTATCACTGTCAACTGAGGAAATGCATTTAAGAGATTAAACTATATGAGAAAACTGTTAACAGCACCTTTGCCAAAATTTTCATCCCTCTACGAGCACACACTACCAGATCTAAGTAATTCTGATCATCTAAATGTTTTTATACACGACAGATGAAGTACTTGCTCTAAGATATCATCAGAGAATGTTAAAATCACATCTATTTGGAGCTTCCTCTTAACACAAGAGCAGACCAGGAATTTTCTACCTAAGAAAAAAAATCCGTCACCATGAAGCACATAAGCATACAAAACATGATTTGATCCCATGTTATGAGCATGTATCATCAGCACATGGCTGGAAAGCTGCCCAACAAGCTGACAACTTCTGAATTAACCTTGTGTGATCACAGCTCAGGTTATCTATTTATAAAGTCATACCACAGGTGTTGCCTACAGTGGGATATTACAATAAGCAGCAGCTAACAAACCTATGCTCATTTTGATGCAACCCAGGTGTTCAGTTGTGCCTTCTCAGTCTTTTTAGCTAGTGCTCTCAATTAGAAATTCAAAGAGCCTGGCATCTGGCACAGGAAGACAACAGAAATTAACATTACCATTTCCCAGGGGTCATGGATTAAACATGGCTTGCACCTGCTCTGTTTACCGCTGAGCTGGCAGTTTAGAAGCAGGATTACCACTTAGACCCTTTCGTTGGTTACATTTTACAGCTTACCCATCCAGTGCAGCATGGACCACTCTTTAATTTGACCCAAATATGATCTTTATCCCACACAAATCTCTAGATACATTTATTTTAGTTAAAGACTTGTCTCAAAAATGCAGAATCACTCAACGTAGGTAACAGAAAATGTTATTTTTATCAAACACATTAATGCAACTCATTATATTCCTACACATTGCAAATTCTCCTTTCTTATATCAACATATTCCACTGCTTTTTGTACATAAGGTGAAACAGGTCCGATTTTCCCTCTGCCTGAATTTGATTACAGTTGTTGGAGATCAGAATAGTTCCAAGAGCTTCCTTCCTCACTGGCAGTGTGTAGTGGGTTTACGTGGCAAGGCTTTGGTAGCAGGGGGCCATAGGGGTGGTTTCTGTGAGAAAGATCTAGAAGCCGCCCCATGTTTGGGAAGGGCCCCATTGTTTTCCAGATCTGAGCCAATAAGCAATGTTGTTTTGCGCCTCTGTGAGAGCATATTTAAGACAGGGAAAAAACTGCTGCGCCACACAGCAGCCGGGAGAGTCAAGGGAGTGAGAAACAGCCTTGCAGGTGCCAAGGTCAGTGTAGAAGGAGGGGGAGAGGTGCTCCAGGCGCCGGAGCAGAAGTCCCCTGTGGCCTGTGGTGAGGACCATGGTGAAGCAGGATGTCCCCCTGCAGCCCATGGAGTACCACGGTGGAGCAGGGTTTCACGCTGCAGCCCGTGGAGGAGACCATGGTGGAGCAGGTGGCCCTGCACCGACGGAGGCTGCCGCCTGTGGAAGACCCCTGCCGGAGCAGATTCCGGGCCAGACCTGTAGCCCGTGGAGAGGAGACCACGCAGGAGCAGGTGATCTGGCAGGAGCTGCTGCCCGTAGGGGAGCCAGGTTGGAGCAGTTTTCTCCTGAGGGATGGACCCCGTGGTACGGACCCATATCTGGAGCAGTTCTGGAAGAGCTGCTGCCTGTGGGAAGCCCACGCCGGATCAGTTCGTCAAGGACTGCATCCCGTGGGTGGGACCCCACAGCACAGGGGACGAGAGTGACCGAGAAGGAGCGGCAGAGAAGAAGTGCTGTAGACTGACCATAACCCCCATTCCCCCGTTCCCCTGCGCCGCTCGGGGGGAGGAGGTGGAAGAGGGTGGATAGGGGGGGAGGTGCTTTTGGTTTCTTTCCTTTGTTTCTCACTTCTCTAGCTTGTTAGTAATGAGCAATAAATCTTACTATCTGTCTTCTTATGCTGAGTCTGGTTTGCCCGTTACACTAATTATTGCGTGATTTTCTCGTCCTTATCTCAATCCTTGAGCCCCTTTCACATATTTTCTCCCCATTCCTCTTTGAGGAGGGGGAGTGAGAGAGCGGCTGTGGTGGAGCTCGGCTGCCCACTCGAGCAGAACCACGACACAGTGTTAAACAATTAGCTAGTCCCAGCACTGAGAATGGGTTTGTACACATGCCCTTGCTGCAATGTGCTTTGCTCCAGCTGGCAAATGCAGACCTGGCAACAGTCCATTACTGTTCTCCACGCTGACCTACATTTCCAGCCTGTGCAGACCCACTGGAGAGGAAATATCCCCAGGAGGATCCCTGGTCTCAACTATTGGGAGCCATACCGTGTAAAAGAAGTGCTAGTAGTAGTGAAAGTGGAGAAGGAAGGTCCCTACAACATCAAGACGAACACTGAAAGGCCGGAGATCTCGCCTGTACGCTACCATCCCTGGCCAATGATTCCCACAGAGATATGAACAGGACCAGCCGAAGGCAGAGCCCAGAAATGCTCTGTTATTCAGGTCCTTGTCTGAAATACCATTTTGTCCACCACTGAGAATTTTACGTACATCTCCAGACGGATCTGGATATTTATTTGCTTTCTTTAAGCAGAGATTTGGACTGCTGCATAGAATAGCAAGCCATCACAGAGAATCAGAGAAAGCATGCTTGGTGCTGCACAATGCTCAGCCTAAAAACTAAGACAAAAGAGCCTAAAAGAGCCTGTCTTCAAAGAGCCTAAAAACTAAGACAAAAATGGAGGTTACCATTTGGGACACAGCAGGTACATAATAACTTATGGATTTGCTGAGCCCATGTTGAAGGAATCTTGCATTTAATAGAGAGAGCCATCATTCACATAGAGAGAGAATATTCATTAAGTTCAGAGGGACCAATAAATTAGTTGTTGCACACAGCAAATGCAAGGACAAAAAGAGAAGAAAAAAAAAAAAGGAAACTTTTTTGAACTTACTGCTACTGCACAACAATGCACTTGCGAATATTACAAGTTGACATATGCAATTGCTCAAGCATGTTGTGTATGTAATTTTGAGCCCAATACATCATCTGGCCCGGGAAATACTGGGAACAGCTATCATTTATAGTCCTGTTTATTTACAGCACTCTGGAAATGAAATAGACTCTTACACTGGGTGTAATTGTTTACTGCCTGATCAGTGTGTAGCAGTCAGCAAATAAGACACAGTCAAATGGATTTGAAGTAGTTCAGGCATTCAGGTGTCCTATGATGCCCACTGCATTATTAGTGATATCCCTTCGTTTTTGCTTCTTCTGTCACAAGAAGATTTACTACATGTGGCAGAAGAACTCAAGACACTCAGACTCCTGCCCAGCCTTAAAAAAAAAAAAAAAAAAAAAAAAAAAAAAAAAAAACTGAGCAAGGGCAGAAAAGAAATTCCACAGATAGGTTTGCATGTGGTAGGCATACCTAAGAATGGGTATAAAATCCTGAAGAAACAATGTCTAGTACTTTGAATTCTGTAAAGCCTTTAAGCTGCCAGCAGCATACCTCTTTGATTCTGCACTTTCTTTAACCACCACTGACTTCAGTAGCAGTTCCGGCCATTCACAGAATGAAGGGTGAGCCCCTAAGGGACTGATAAGATATTACAGAGATTACTAGAAAGGAAGAACTACACCCATGTAGGGCTTACTCTCCTACAAAAGGTCATGCTAGGAAAAAAACAGCATCTTCTAAAATGGACCTATAACAAGGTACAAATTAGGAATCTGTCTCATAGCTAAGTCTAAATGCACAGTATGACCCTATTTATGCAAAGGCCTCGACTCGAATTAGTTGAGGAGACCTACATTCCCAAAACTATTCAGATGAAGGATGGGAAAAGAACATGGAACTTGCATTCACTTAAGACTGCTTTCGGACTTGTTCTTCATTCATTATATAGTTTTGTAGATGCTGAAAAATGAGTTCCTAACTAAGAAATTAAACAAGAAGCACACTACGAAGAAAAAAAAGGATAACATGGGAATGAAACAAGAACCTAAGGAAAAGTTCATATTGAATTTGCAAAAGTTGCGTTTCTGTCAGAAAGATGATCATGACTACATTAACAAGCCCCCTAGTTAATGCCAGCAACATGACTCTCAGCAGCCTTTGATACAGAAAATGACAACTCTGCAGTATTAAAGCTTAATTTGTTGTGAGCAGAATACTCCTTGATTTTTCTCTCCATTGACTCTGGTGCAATTAATTCCCTTCACAATAGTACTTGTAAAACCAGATAAGTCAACTTAAAGCAGTTAATAAGAAATATGTATGGACCAGATTTTTTTTTTCCTGCCTGAAATATCTTGTGCATATCTTTATGTAGATACAATGACTCTCCTTGAAAATATGGTATAGTTTATGTAGAAAGAGGCTGGAATTCTTAGTTTTACATACACATACATTGAAGATCTTAAGAAGAAAATTGCTGCAAGACATAACTTTATGTAGCTTTCAGTAATGAGAATTGGATCTACATCAAAACTGACATGTTAAATAAAAACATACCAAAATCTGAGTACTTTGGGGAAATTGAGGTCTAGACTGTGCAGCGTTGGTTCTGAAACCAAGAAACATTATTCTGTATTTTCATTGGCATATGATTCACATTACAATACAATTTTGAGCAAACAAATATGCAATCACTTAGAAAACATTATTTTCTAACTGCTAATGAATCTATGGTGAAACAAACCTTCTGCTCAACCCCCAAGCAAAAATCCCCTATAAACTTTGTTTATCTTCATATTACAGATCAATATAAGAGATATTGAACAAGATTTCCCTACCTTTGAGGTCAATTGGGAGTTTTTTTTTCTGCTTTGATTCTGCAGTCAAAAGAACTTCAACCGTGGTGACTCGTGCACATCTTACAGGATCACATTTCTGATTTGGCAATTTTACCTGAAAAAGTTAAAATCAGGATGAAAGTTCCAATTACAAATCTTTTTTGTCAAAAACATAATGTGAATATAATGCTTTGGAAAGAACTGGACTGATGCTGTAGACTAAAAACAGCTGTACTGATAATAGCTGTGACTGTGAAGGTACCAAAACTACTTGTTTCTCCAAACCATTCATTCATCCCTAATTGGGCCTTGGGCTTATGCTGGGGATTATGTACTATTAAAATACAGATCATATTAACAATAATGCCATTAATACTGTCACATACTTGTACCAGTATCACTAAGAAACATGATATATGACATGGACTTGTACCCATAGCATAAAAAAATGTTTCAGATTTGTTTTGTCTTCTCTGTTAAGCAATCACATAAACTGCTGCATGTACGAAACCGCAGCTGGGTTGCAGCTGAAAGATAATATTCAGAAACAGAGCATATATTTGCCCAATTTTCTTTGTCAGCATTTAATTATGGTAATATTTGCAGTGGCACAGTGCCTAAGAACAGAAGTCATGGACAAAATCATATCTAGCCAATGGAGCTTACAACCCAAGTAGCATGGAAGTATTCATATGAATCACGCACACTGGAGCTGGCTCACCAACCTTAGGTAAGAGTCATGTTCACTTTCCATCCTAAAACTGTAGGCACAAGATCAAGTGTTTATTTCAGCTGCCACTTCCCATCTGTAATTCTTCCCCCACGTGAAACAACCTCCTGTCTCACCCACCTATCAGTAGAAGCCATCCAAAAAGAACTGGCAACGGGCAGCATACCAGCCTTGGCTCCAAACTCTTACATGCAAATCTGTTGACTTCAATGGAGTTGCAACAGGAAAAAAATGTTTCTGTTCCAAGTGAAGTTAGTTATCCAGGTAGAACAAGGACTGGTACTGTAACTGTTAGCAATGAAGATTCTTCTAAGGGATCAGGATAATTGCTGGTTTTGTTCCATGCTGGATGTGATCCTTCACTTCTTCAAGTTAACCTTTCATATCTACATCATCTCCAATCTCATTCAATGGAAGTATAAATTCCCCTTTGGCTGTCCCTTTCAGGAAGAAGCAATCTGAAGATAACACTGTGTAATGTAACCGAGTACTACCAAGCAAGATCTGTGTTCAGCTTGCCTCAGCTCAGTCCATGCCCTTGTGCCTGTGTTTCCTGTTCTCCTGTTCTAGATGCTTTAATTCTCAGAGCCTCATGCAGATTACATGGTGCTTTGCCAAGAAGGCAAAAAAATGTAGATAAGTTTCCTGCCTTTCAACTAGCAGGAGGAAGGCACATGAAATCTGTTTCCAGCAGGCCATAAATTCTTTACAAACAATTATATCATCTTCAAAATGCCAGTGCACTTCTGACATGGTTTCAGACCATATTGTCCTTTTGCAGTAGTCAGTTCCCAAGCTCCTCAAAAGACGATTGACCAAACATCTGCTCCAAAAATATTCCAAGCATCAAACAGAGCCCACAAAAATATCAGTGAGACATTTCAAAACTAAACTTGCTGTTTCTAACCCTTCTATTGAGAAATGAACTTCTAATATGCTCTGAGACCTACTAGTTAAGAAAATCTTTTCAGGTGCAATTTGCTAAGCAAGTGCCAATCCTTCTGTTAACATACTACAAGGAAAAGGTAGAAGAACAGCAGTAGTGATACACAGAAAGTGTTATCAGCTAACAGGGAGGAGAGTCGCTGTGTCTGAACTAATAACATTGCAGCTAAAGAAAAGTCTTGCTACATTAAGAAATGTAAAATTCCTGACCAGAGCTCCTAAACTGTAGACATTGTGAAACTGCTGGGCTGCTGTTGTTGGCAAACATCTTTGTAGAGGGGACAAGCTATTTTTGATCTGACAGAATAGTTTGAAGATGAGTCAGATACAAAATTATTACTCTTTCTTCAATTCACTAACTTTTTGCTGCTCTCCCCCTTTCTAATTTAATTTTACATCTCTGAAAAATTTAACACGATGCATCACAGCCAGTAGTAGCTATTGAAAGGGGAAGCATTGCTTGGACTGCACAGAAGCCTCATCCTAATTCAGGAGACAAGAATGTCTCTTTCCACTCACCACCATAGTTTCACTTCAGGCTCCAGCTACAATGCTTGCTGCCCTTAGCTATTATCGAATTCAGAAATGCACAGTATTTACTTTGTGAAAACAGTTGTTCTTGACCCTGTGATGGGAGTTCTTCAGGGTGTAAACATCTGAAAAATGCTTTGCATCGCCCAGCTCTGTGTCTGGAGCCACTCCCAGCAGCAGCAGCTGGGTGTGTGCAGCCACCAGTGACTGGGGTGACATGAAGTTCAGCAATGCCATTTCCCAACAAGTCCTCTGGGTTGTGTTCAATGTTGCGCCCACTGCCAAGAAGCAAATCTTGTGTGGATTCACAGGATCGAGTGTATGGGAGCACACTTCTCTCCTGCCCATGCTGATTTTTTTAATCTCAGTGAATGCCTTCATGATGTGGCTAAAATCATTTCTCTGAAGTATCAAAGAACAAATAACTCTTGGAGATGGCTGGTTAGCTCAAATAGTTCTCTCTGTAGGAAGTGCCCTGACTATTCTCATCAGCCCTGGATGCCAGGACAAACACACGAACAAACAGAAACCCTGCCAGTTCAATAAGCACGGAAAACAGTGTTTCTGTTCTTTAACTTCATGTTAATACTTCTCTCTGATAATCCTGAATGGATTGTCAGGGCCTAAGGACCAATGAAGTCTTGGTGCGTAGACAAGCAGCTAAAGTATCAAATGTCCATTACAGACCATCTTGATTGTGAAAAGTCAGCTACCAGCTGATATAAAGCACAAGGGATGTAAAAATATAGGAAAATAATAAATGCAATTTCACATTTATGGAAGACTTTAGCTTCCTGGGCATAAAGCAGAAAATAAATGCCACCATTGATGGCAGAGCTCCATCAAAGACATAAGCATGGTAAACAAGGAATTTCTTTAATAATCAATTAACTAAGGGGAGCTGGTGTTATTTCAGAGTGAGCAAAGAAGACCTTTGCTTTGATTTGCTTAAGGCTGATGACAGATGAGAACGATACACAAAGGAAACAGCAGCAGGATAACAGAAATAACAGCATCTTAGGAGAAACAAAGCTATTTCTTAATGTGAAAAATATCAAGGGATCCATGTAATTGCTTCCCTAGTATACCAAAAGAACTGGTATATGAAATTGTAAGTAAAGCAGCAGGTTTTAAATAAATTTGAATGAAAATTTACCTAAGGCTCAAGTACAACAAATATAATGTATATGTATTCCAGAAACTATTTTTAAAATTCAGTATAATGCTATGTCTTAGAGCAAATGCTGAAACAAAGCATGATTAACTGTAGTGAGGCAAACAGAATGTGAGAAAAAATGCATAGTTTACCAAAGCAGAGGATGTCAGACTCAGCTGGTGTATTTTGAGTAAGACAATTGTCTTTTTAGAAGTGAATGATGCACTAAAGTTGGTCTATTGAGTTTGAAACAGTTCACTTCATACAGCGTTCCACAAAAAATCATTACTGAAAGTGGAATTTATAGGGATTAATAAAAAACCAATGTGAACAAGGAGCAACAAGTTATAATAAAAAAGTAGTTACAAGAACAGAGCAAATTTCCTGATGGCATTCCTCAGGGATTAGTCTGTGGAGCAATGCTATTTAATGTGCATGGCCATCACCTAGGAATAATGACCAGGCCCAGCATCAAAAAAACAAGCACATGATGCAAAGCTGAAAGATACTGCCAGTACCGAGGAGGACCTGATCACCACATTGGAATTAGATGACCTTCTTGTCTGTAGTGATAGAAATTCAATAACGTGAACTGCAAAGTCGTGTTCCTGGGATTCATCAGCTGGAAGCAGCAGAGAAGGAAAAAGATCTGAGTGCACTGATAGACTGTCAGTGTACCAGAGCTGCCAATATAACACAGTTTTGGAAACAGATAATATAAAACTAAGATGGGTTAGGTTAGATTTTTAGTAGAGATGGAAATATTTGTACTTTTACACAAAGCACTGGTAAGATTTTGTGTGAAATATTTATACAATTCCAGTCAACAGTGTTGAAAAAAGATTAATTTGAAATGGAATCAGTGCAGGCTGGCTATGAGAACAAGTACAGAAATGGAACATCAGTCTTAGGGAGAGATAAAAGAGCATGGTTTGTTCAGCGTGACAGCAGAGAAACAATATGCCAGTCCTTTATAAATAGATTTTGAGATAAACAGCAAGACAAAAGAATGGAATTAAAGATTTGCACCACCACGAGTTCAACTTGCTCCAATCTAATCAGCATTACATGTATGTTTAGACCGAAAACCAAGGCAAAATTTTCTAACTATTCAAGGAATTCATGTTTTGGCATTATCCTTCAAAGAGAGCAGTAAGGGCGAGGAACCTAAATAGGCTTAAAAAGGAACTTGATATACCCACGTAAGAGTTACATACCTAAGTGAGAAAATGAGTCTGTGGCCAATAAATGTTTGGGGCACACCTAAAGAGGTTTGAAGCAAGACTAGATCTCTCTTGTTCTGTATTTATTTTGTACAGATCCCATGCCTCATTGTGTTTTCTGATTGCAAAAGATTCCACCAACAGAGAAACAGTGGGTTTCTCTCAACACATCCCCACTGCTGAACAAGTTACGTTCTGAGTTTTTTTCACCTTCTTCTGACACACTGGAGCTTTGCCAACTGTTCACTTTCACATCTTATGGGTTGATATTTTATCTTCTGCAACCTTGCAACTGAATTTTAGGCTTCCTCATTCCTCCTGTGATTGTTTTTCCTTTTCTCACTTAGTGTAAGTCAGGCATAGCCCTACTGTAGGCCTCCCTTGGTAATTAAAATTAGACATGGGTTATAACAGAAGACTTGGTGAACTTGGATTGCTTATTTAAATACGTTTCGCCCTCTAAGAATTCCATTTAGCATCAGATCTTCAGTCTACAATCTATGCTTTATTGATTCTTGTTTTATCAAGGA